ATATATATATATATATATATATATATATATATATATATATATATATTATGAAAATGGACAAAAGTCTGACAATTATTTTGAGACAATTTTTATGTTTATATGTTCTTTTATAGATACAAATATTTAAGTAAATGCTCTGTTTATTAACAACATTTACCAGGCTGAATGTCCGAGAAATTTTCATGGAAAATATGCGTCCTCGGACAGGAATCGAACCTGTATCCTATAATGAACTGTCATATAGCCTGATGTGCTTTCACCGATTGAGCCATAGAGGAGCGTTTTGGTTAGCAACATTGATTTTACTGTTTGTTAATACTGTTTATTATAAACAGAGCATTTACTATAAAAAGAACATATAAACATAAAAAAATGTCTCAAAATAATTGTCAGACTTTGTCCATTTCATAATGTGTCATGTCATTTGTTTACATTTGGATATGCATCGAGCAGATATGAATGTATGAGAGAAAATCATGGTGATTTGTAGTTTAAAAACAGTAAAATCAACCTTGCTAACTGAAACGATCCTTTGTGGCTCAATCAGTAAAAGCATATCAGGCTATATTCCGTATAGATCACAGGTTCGATCCCTGTCGGAGGACACATATTTTCTATAAAAATTTCTCAGACATTCAGGCTGGTAAATGTTGTCAATAGTGTTTATTATAAACAGAGCATTTACTTAAATATTTGTATCTATAAAAAGAATGTATAAACATAAAAAATCTCTCTCTCTCTCTATATATATATATATATATATATATATATATATATATATATATATATTTAATTATATCAGCCCACACAAGATAAAGCCAGTAAAACACAAGGGGTTACTGAGTATAAAAGAATAAGAAAAAAGAAAAACATTATTAAGAAGTAAGAACAATAAAAGAAGAGGAATCAAGAATATATATATATATATATATATATATATATATATATTGAGGACGCTCCCATCATTTTTCATCATGAAGGTTCAGCAGCTCAATTCTTATAAATGAACAACCAGACTATCTGCATATATGATTTAATTATAGTGATGAAGGCTTGTGCAGAACCAACCGCACATTTGGGAATATATATATATATATATATATAGATATATATATATATATATATATATATAATTTGTATATCACTTTTATGGATATAAAGGTGCTCTATTTCAAATTCTTTTAACAGAGCATATTAATAAACATAAAAATTAAAAAAATAATAAAACATAACAAATCAAAATGTTATTTTATATATTTGTATGTACACACATATATTACAATATTAAATATATATTCTCTCTCTTCATATATATATATATATACTAAGAGTTATATATCTCTATATACAATATGTGTATGCATTGTTATTTATCCCTATCTGCTTCTACCTGATTATAAGATATATATATATATATATATATATATATATATATATATATATATATATTTAATTATTTATTTGAAAATTATAAATAAATATGTTATAAAATCACTAAAAAATAGCCATTTTGTTTCAACACTTCTGGTGTCTTTTCAAGTACATGGCTATTATAATTATATTTGCTCTACCCTGTATTGAGCACTCTTTTACGAATAGTAGTTGTTGATTATTGGAATTTATTCCGTATACACCAATCCTATATTTGTGTATATATATATATAATCAGGTAGTGAGAGATAGAGATATATTGAGAGGTAGAGAAAGTTATTTTGAGAGACTGGTCGAGAGAGATAGGTTCAGAAAGAGAGAGAGTGTGTAGAGACAGAGAAATTGATAGAGAGTAGTGAAACAGATAGATATTTATGCAAATGAATACATTATGTATAAGTAATTACACCCATACTTGTATGATAATGCTGATGAATTATCAATCTAGGAAATAATGCTGACCAAGAGTCTGCAGCTCTGCACCACAGTTAATTGTGAACTTCCTAATTTTTTCCTTGGCCAGAGCTACATACAGTTTTGAATTCCCAGTTGTCCTTCTACCAACCAAGGCCGCAGAGCCCATTCTACCTTGCTACTTAACTAGGTGCTTCTAATGATTTGCTACAAAATGAACATACATGATGAAGAAATACCCAAAACTTAACAAAAAATTAAGTTTTATCATCAAAATCTTTATATTTATTAAGATGAAAGAGAAAAGAATTTTTTGATTATTAAATTATATTTTTTAAACTTTTTCACAACTTTCAAAATTGTGGTTAAAAATTTTGCTTTTCTTGTATCAATAGGTGACCATAAATTAGAATTGGAAATTTAAGGGTCTTTTTACAGTGAAAAACACATTGATTTGGAAATTCTTGCAAATATCAAATGTTTGATTTTAATTAAAGTTTTGGGACTTATTCACAAAGAAATGAAATTATTTTAGAAATGTTTCTTTTTTAGAAATATTGGTAAAAATATTTTCTTTTTTATATCTGTTACTCCTGCCCCACTACCACTCAAAATTATTTTTGTAGCACTTAATGTTTATATTAATTATAAGCACAAGTTCTTGGAGAATTTAAATCATCAATTTTTTTTTGTCAAATAGAACCTCCAATTACAGAAAATCTGTTCTGAATCATACAATAAAAAATACAATAGAACTAAGATATTATTTAGAAAAGAGATATTGTGGACAGTGTCTTAAAAAAAACATTTATAAGAATAAATAATGAATTTTTACAGGAATAGTTTTCATGTTTTTAAAATTTTAATTATAATAATTTATAAACTTTTAAAATTCTGTTTTAATTTGTTAGGTCATATTGTTATAAATGAAAACTATATTACTAATCATAACTGGAAAGGCTTACTACAATTCAGTAACCTCTCACCCAATATTTTAAAAATAATTTTAGATTTTTTTGCAGGTGTATAAACATGCTGATTTTTGTAAATATGGATGTCCATACACAATATTATCAGAGAATAGGAATGGTAACTACAGTAATTTTAAAATTTATTGTTAATTTTCTAACATTTCTGCAACAAGTGTCTTCCTAATGTATACTATAAAGCTAAACTACCTAAAATTCAATAAAATATTAGATTGCTTAGAATATTTTCCCAAATTTTTTAAATTACTGGGTAGTTAAAAATTTATGTAAAAGAGACATGCATGTTATATTTGTCAAGTAATTTTTAAAGTTATGTCCCCCTGCAGAAAAAATTCCTAAAGATAATTCTATCAAGATAGTTTCCAACACCTTATAGAACACCCGCCTCCATGTTAAAAAGTAATATTTGTTTCAAATCAAGTTAATTAAACTTTAAATAAGCTAATCTTCCTTAAAGTTTCAGAAAAGTATATTTTATTTTTGAAAGATTTTTTTAGATAAAGCGAATCATATTGTTTTGATAGATTCGCTAATATAGCTCATTCTTAGGAATATTAATGATTTCAAAAACTCGTTCCAATTAATTTAAATTCAGTTTGAAATACAGCAAAGTACTTTGCTTATTGGAAATATTAAATTTAATCGATTAGCTTGGAATTAAAACCTAAATAAAAGCTTCAATAATAAACTTTCATGTTTTAAATGCATTTTAAACCTTAGGTATCTCATTTTTTTTGGAGGTACCTTAACTCATAGCTGAAGGAGGGGGGTAGATATCTTTCCCAATGGTATTTTATGTGAAAGGGAAGGTAACAAATTCAGTTGGAATTTTGAACTTGGCTTACTGATTTTCTCAATCCTAACCATTACACCACCTGCACATCCACAAACCACAATAAATATACTGATAAAAGAAAGAAACAAAAAATAATCACAGTAATTAACAATAGCTGCATCAATAATTAATATTATTGTAAGTAATAATTATTTAATAATATTAATAATTAAAATAAAAATAATAATAATAATAATAACAATAATTATAATTCTGCAAGTGCAGGTAATATAACAGTTATCAGTTTAGAAAGTGGAACTGGCAAGCCAGGTTCAAATTTCAGCTTTGTCTGCTGATTTTCACTTTCATTCAAATGCTTTTTTTGAAAGGCATGAATCTATTTCTTCACCCACTTTTCCACTTGGGTAGCAGTGAGTCTAAGAAAAAGATAATTCTGAATTCAAAATCATAGTGAAGGCAATGGGAAACCACTCCACTATCTCTCCCCCCAAGAAGTAATAGTAATTCACAGATAATAAAGAAAAGGAAGCTGTGTAGAGCCATGATCACCTATGTCCTTTCAGGACATAGCATTTAAAAATATGATAGAGAGACTACTACTAAGAATAAATAAAATAATTATTATTATTATAATAAAATATTTAAAATAATAGTTAAAATAATAAGAAGAATAAGAAGAAAATAATTTTCTAATTCAAATCACAACAAAAAGATGCATTATCGAATATTTTGCTGATAATTAAAAAAACGTTTTATTGATAACATCAAAATTGTATTTGTGTAGGGAGTATTAATAATAATAATAATAATAATAATAATTATCATTATTATCATTATTATTATCATTATTATTATTTCTACGTCAACATAATAATAACTATTGAATAATTTCAAACCTAATAACAATAAGAATAATATTAATACTTGCAACGTAATAACGACAATAATAATACTAATAATAATAGTAATAATAATAGTAGTAGTAGTAGTAGTAGTAATAATAATAATAATAATAATAATAATTCCATCATCATAATATCTAAGATTATTGTGTGCATCAGTGTAGGGCAGGTAGTTGTCGAATGGTACCTGTAGTAGTAGCTGAGTGAATGAATGGGTGGGTAAACGGATGTATGGCGTTAGTGGTGGGGCCAGTGACAGGGTGGAACTCCAGCCAACTTCAGACTGTCCATCTGTTCGTTATTGTTCTCTTTCTCTCTTGTAGCAGTGGCTCAACTATCACCAAGCCAAACCTAGAGAGTAGACAGTGAACTGGTCAGACACGATGGCGTGGTGGGTGAGGAAGAGGTCCATGGAAAGATGTAAGGTAAGGGAGGGGGAAATGATGGGTGAGTTGGGGGGGGTCAAACTCACCTTCCCCGCTCTCTTCCCGCCATCTCCCTCTTCACACCCACTCCATCTTTTCTCCTCTTCCTTATATTATAGGGTGGGGCTTGTGAGAAGAAAAGAAGGTAGGGTGGGTAGGTGAGGCTACGTGTCAGAGTAGGGCTGGCCATGGAGAGGTTTGTAAGATAATGAAGTGGAGAGGGAGAAAAAGAAAGGGTGGGTCCGAATTGGAAGAGGTTGGGTAGACGCTGAGAAAGGTGGGAGAGAGGAGAGATGAGGTTGGCGGGGGGGGGGATGAAGAAAGATAACAGGTCAGAGCTAGAGGTGAGGTTGGAAGAGTGGGTAGGTGTTGTTAGGGAAGGGAAAGTTGGGGAAGAAAGATAAAATAAAAATAAACGAAAAAAAATTCGAAATGAAGAGGCAAAGAAAAAGGTTTTAAGAAAGTGAGGGGTATTGTTCAAAGAGAGAGTGGGCGGTCGATATCTATCGAAAGAGTGAGAATGACAAGAAAAGGAAAAAGAGAGAAAGGAGACAAAAAACGAGAGAAAAAAATAAACGTAGTCGAATTAAAAGTAATTTTGTTTGGCACAAGGCTACAAACTTGGGTCTCCGGCTGAATATCAATTTCACTCCAGTCGATCGTAAATAGTTTTTAAAAGTAAACAAGAAAAGAAAAAATATTTTACTTTAGAGTGAAAAACTTAAAAAAGGAAATAAAGACAGAAAAGATTTATAAAGAAAGAGTAACCGAGAGATAGAGGAAGAAAAAGCCTGATATCAACTAAAGAAAAGAGAGAAGAGGAAAGCAATAAGAGAGAGTGGGAGGAGGAGAGAAGAAAGACAATAAGAAAGAGAGGAAATCTTTTAGTAATTAAGAGAGAGAGAGAGGAAGTAAAATCAATAAAGAGAGGGAAGCTTTACACACACAAAAAAAAAATGTAACCGGGAAAGAAAAGAAAGAAAAGAGAAAAGACTTTCTTAAAGACTCAAATCAAGAGAGAGAGGAAGAATAACCGAGGGTGAGAAAAAGAGAGAGGGGGAAGGAAGAAAAGAAATAAGAGTAAAAAGACTTATATAAAGAATAACAAAGAAAGAGAGGAAGAAAAGCAATAAGAAAGAGAGAGAAACTTTACATAACGAGCAATCGAGAGTGAGTGAGGAAAGAAGAAAACCTTAAAAGAGTAATCAAGAGAGAGTGAAGGAAAGAGGAAAGTCAATAAGAAGAGAGAGAGAGGAAGAAAGCCTTATTAAAAAATAACTAAGAGAGAAGAAGGAAGAAAGGCAATAAGAGAAGGAAAGAGAAATAAACTAATGAATAAATGAACTGGAGGTAAGAGAGTAAAGCACAGAGAGAGAGAGAGAGATCGAAGGTAAAGAAGGAAGAGAGGAAACAAAGTAAGGAAAAGAAAAAGAGAGATGGGTAGGAAGTGAGTATGTGAGTCACTCGACTGCCGGCCCAACCCAGACGCACATAACGAATCAGGCCGGCTGCTGCTGCTACCTGCTTGGCTTATTCACCCACTCTGCTCTGACCCAATCAATATCACATACAGCCAGGAAGGACCGTACGCAGTTTGCCCTCCACAGATACACGCACAGTCATAAAAGCACCCACTCACACCAGGGAATAAAACATAGCTCATATGATAAACACGTTGGCTCAATGAAACCCAGCAAAGAATTATTGTCGAACCAATGCCGGGAACTCCAACTCTTTACAAAGAGGTATACAGCCAGCCAACGTTTTAAGAGATGAGCCATGCCTTTACCTGTACAAAGAACACAGCTCTATTATTATTAGTCTTCTCGAAACAACTTAAGGCTCATCTGTTAAAAAGATCTTGGGTTTACGGTTCTTTTTTAACTGAAGCCGATGAGCGGGTATCTAGATATAGGTCTAGTCACTAGTGAGAGATGTTAAGAACCTAAGTAAGTTAAAGTCTTCAAAAAAAATCAATAATACTCTCCATTTCTCTCTCACTCTATCTATTTAAGAGTGTTGGAGGTGCTGAAAAGTTTTATTTTCAGAAACTTTTCAGCACCCACTTATACATAGGCATGAGGGGTGGTTAAAAGTTCCAAATTAAATATCTGATGGTTGGTCATTTCAGCATGTAAGAAGTAGACCTGGCTGAGAACTTGTGTTTATATATATATATATATATATATATATATATATATATATATATATATATATATTTATGAAATGGACAAAGTCTGACAATTATTTTAAGATATTTTTTATGTTTATACATACTTTTTATAGATACAAATAGTTAAGTAAATGCTCTGTTTATAATAAACAGTATTAATAACATTTACTGGCCTAAATGTCCAAGAAATTTTCATAGAAAATATGCGTCCTCCAACAGGAATCGAACCTGTATCCTATATGGAACTGTGATATAGCATGATGTGCCTTAATCATTTCGGCCACAGAGGAGCGTTCGGTTAACAAGGTTGATTTTACTATTTTAAACACAATTCTCCATGATTTTCTCTTATTCATTCATATCTGCTCAATACGTATCCAATGTAAACAAATGATGATTCCATATAGGATACAGGTTCGATTCCTGTCGGAGGACGTATATTTTCTATGAAAATTTCTCAGACATTCAGAATGTATAAAAAGAATGTATAAACATAAAAAAATGTTTTAAATATATATATATATATATATGTATATATAAATAAAAAGAAAGAACAGTAAGATATATAATCCGGTGTTCTTATAGATATTTTTATTTTTACAAAATAGTGCTCAATGTAAATTTACAGAGCATTAATATTATAAATTAATTGATTTAAAATATGGCTTTTTCTGCTACACAGTTCTAACCATGTTTCAAAAATGGAAGCTAAAAGCTCAGAATTACTGGGTTTTAAAGACAGCTAAAATCATAATTCATGTTTCCAAGGTTACACATAAAACCACTTTCACTAGACTAGGGGTGTCTGCGCGTTCATTATGTCTATGTTTTGATGTATCACTTATTTGTTATGGTTCGGAGGGGGTAGGGATGTATTTTTCAATGAAATCTAACATCCATTATGTCATCTGGATTTTTAAAAAAAATTTTATTGTTAACGGCTAAAATTCTTACGGCATTTTTGTGTCTTTAAAATCCAGTAATTTTAAAAGTTACTCCAAAATTCGCTTGAGGATGAAATGGAACTAACGTCTTTAATTTAATTACAAAATTAAATTCTGAGCTTTTAGCTTCCATTTTTGAAACATGGTTAGAACTGTGTAGCGGAAAAAAACATATTTTAAATCAATTAATTTATAATATATATATATATATATATATATATATATATATATATATGCCCCCCCCTCCGACATACAGACACAAATAATAAGTCTACAGCCTAATGATGAAAAAGCATTTCTTTTGTACAATAATTTTTTCAACATAATTTCCTTCTTTGCCAATGCACTTATTTCTGGAGAATATTCCAAATCAATATTCAACTGATAACTTCATGTCAGGCTACAAACTTATTGATTCATTCTCATGAAAGAAAGACGGTTAGGAAAGACAGAGCCATATTTTATGAAACAGATGGTGTTACCCAGGATAGATATATAAAAATTGTCAGTTTAAATAAATTGAAAAGGTTGTGTTTGATCAAATGCTTAATAAATTTTCATTCTCATCTCAGAGGAAAATTTGTGTGTCCACACACAAATTTTACAGAAGGGAAGGTAACAAAAAATATGAAAGAAACAAAAAAGGGGACATGTAGATAATCATTAACTAATAAATAACATTATATTAATATTTCAATTTTTTATTTCCATCATCATCAGAACTTTCAAAAGTTCTTTCAAATATTATGTACAAATATAATTATTTGATTTACTGACAAACCTGAACATTCATGTCTACAAAAAAAAAAGTTTTTCCCTTGACACCACTATTATTTTAACTACCTTCACTCCTCAGCAATGTTTATTCTTTTAAAAAGTGATGCTTAGAGTTGTAATAAAACATATGATGAAAATGAATTTATACATTTTTTGTTCTTGAGAATTTACAACAAAAATATTAAACACTATTTATTTATTAGATTGTTTACAAGAATAATTTTATATTTACAACATTCTAATACAAATTAAACATAATGCAACACGATATTTATCATTTACTAATTTATAAAGAAATATGAAAATAAATAATAAATTTCTAAATGTTTACTAAATTATTAAAATATGTGAACCAACTATAAGGAAATCCTTATTATTTATAAAGTTCAAATCGGTTGGTAATAAACTGATGTTTTGCCAAACATTCCAATAAATAATATAATAAATAGTGTAAATAAACAATTTAATAAATAAATAATGTTTATTCGCTTTCATATGTTTAGGTTTTATTACAATTTAATCATCACTTTTTAAAAGAATAAACACTGCTGAGGAGTAAAGGTAGTTAAGATAATAGCGGTGTCAAGGAAAAAACCATCCTTTTCACACTGGTTTTTGGTTCATATGACAATCCAAGTTTGCCGATTTACTTTTATTCTTTCATTTAAAACTGGCTGATATTCAAATAGCATCTATAAATACAGAAGATGCCATGAGTTGAAAATAGCAAAATCCAACAGAATCACTAAATAAGGAACAAGTAGTAAAAACCTTACAAATTTAACACATATTGAACTTCATGAGAAATTTCAGTAGTGGAATAATGCAGAGGAGCTGTAGTACAAAAGAGAAGCCTCAGGGAGTGCAGTCAAGCGTGACAAGCATCAGCAGCTGCACTTATCAGCAAGCAAGTTAGGTTCAAGGCTCCAAGTTCTACACTCAGGATTGTCCCATGTGACAATAGCCTAGTGGATTAAAGTGTGAGTTTGGTGACAGTAATTATGAGTTCAATCCCTGGTGCAAGCAGTGTGTTCCTGAATTAATGTAACACTGTTAAAGCAGAATAATGGATAGGTTTTTTTTTTAATCAATTCACCCCAAGAAAGGAGAAAATGCCACTTACTGGAAGTGAAAGAAAATAAGAAAACATTAGCGAGGAGAAAGGACAATAAACGAACAAGATCCAGAAAGGTAGAAGTTGGTGGTTGATATTGCATTTAAAGTTTTGAAGATTGTAGCTGATAGGAAAGTAAGAAGCTAGAGGAGAATTCCACAGGCAAGTAGTGCAAGAAATTATTAAAATAGAATTTACAGTTACATCTTGATACTTTTACAGTAAAATGATGGGATCTAATTGCCAATCTAGTACTATGCTTAAATTCATTAGGTCAAGGTACTAAGGAAGCCATGAAAATATTTATAGAAAAAGTACAGGGAAGCTACATTACGGTGGTAGGATTGTTTGTTTTGTTTTACAGCACATCATCCTTAATGGATCATTTAATGCCACAGTAGTAGGAAAGTGGCTGAAGCTGAAATACCAGGTCAGGATAACTTTACAAATTCTTTGGATTCTATGAAGAATCTAGAGATATATAGCAGGAACATCAGACCAAATGGCTTAAAAAAGGCTGGAGTAGGAAGTTCTATCATTTATTGTGGATCATCCTGGTTATGATGATAAACTACATCCAGAAACAAGTCCTCTGATAAGCAGATTGGAAGTTTTGAGGAGTATAGGACCATATCTTAATTGCTGTTGTTCCCAGGTCCAACCTGATCCAGGGTGGTAGCACCTGTTAGGGTTCCAGCTATGGGTAAATAGTGAACCCTCAAACAAAAACAAAACACTATGAAAATATAAGAATATATATTTATAGTAAAAATACCAACAATACATTTTTATTATAAAATTACCAACAATACCTATTTATTATAAAATTACCAACAATACCTATTTATTATAAAATTACCAACAATACATTTTATAGTAAGATGACCAACAATACATACAACAAGGCATACAATTGCATTCAAAATATATTTAGTTGAAGCCATAAAATTGCGTTCAAAATATTTACATTTCGGTATTAAATAAACCATAGAGGTTGATATGTCATCAACCAAAAACATGAAAGAACTCTTTCATGACATTAATTCATATAATATCCTACAATTTCTCAAAGAAATCAAAGTGTATTCCAAAATATAACTTCAACAAAACTACAACATAAAACACACATATCACTGCCTCTAGTAATTATGTCCACACAAACAAGTATATGCACAAAAGCTGAGTATCATCTACCATGTATTCAACTGTGAAAGCAGAATAATATGCATCATATTTTTATTACTTCAAAGATCTCAAAAAAATTAAATTTCAGCATTAAATGACTCATAAGAAGTTGATATGCCGTTAAACAAACAAATCACTCATTGTAGTCAGCAACATTTCTTTGCTGGAGATTATAAAATTTGGTCATACAGACCCCACATATTATGTTATTTATTATTACAAGAATAGCCTGGTGGAAAGTTTCCTTTTGACTTTCACTGAGAAATTGAGACTATGTAACTTTGAGGCACTGGCATGAAGACAGCCAAAGTAGCCCACTGCAAAGTGACGACTATACTTTGCCGAACAATAGTTTGGACAACATAGGATGTAGTGACAATGCTACCCTTAATGGAAAATAGTCAGTACTAAATAAAATCTAAACAAAATA